CCCATCCCCAGGTGGCCCAGTGGCTCCATCCCCAGCCCCATCCCTTGCTCGGCATCCGGAGCGGTGCTGCGAACGCTCAGATTCCAGGCAAGAAGTTCCCAGTCTCCTTTGCCTTTTAAGGAAACATCTGAGTGGGTTTGAGGGTTACAAATGCTAACAAGCAATGGCAATGCTCATTTTAGTCTATTTAGAGGAAACGGGAAGGCATTTCAGTTCATCAAAACACTGGTGATTAATCAGCTGAGTACCAGGCTGTTTTCATTGGGCTTATTTTTAAAGGTCTGACACGCTGTGTAAAAATATTCCCCTAATAATCGTGCTCGTGGCAGAGGGAATGGCACAGGAGGGGGTGCAGTGGCGCTGGTTTCTAGGTACCCGAGGTAAATATGTCAGCGCAGCGGAGGGGAGCGAGTGAGCAGGACTCAAGATGGGAATGGAGAGAGCACAGGGATGGTGCTGACCGCTGCTGATGGGGACAACCTGGCTGGTGGCCTGGGCTGCAGGAGAAGGTGTGCTGGTGGCTGTGGGGACAGCCAGGGTGTCAGGACCAGGGGGAAGGATGCATTTCTTGCTCCTCTTCCTCATCCTCCTGCCATGCAGCTCCTCTGCATCTGCAGTGGAGCCGGGGTGGTGGGACACACTGAGAGCCCGGGGATGGGTGCAAGGGCAGGAGAGGATGAAGGCATGGTCCCTCCTGGGCACATTCATGGCCTTGGGCAGGGCCAGGAGCAGCTTCCGACCTGGCTTTAGAGGTGTCCCCAGTCTCCACCAAGGGATGGAGAGTCTCGTGGTGGCTGGGGCAGGTGAGGAAGAGTGACCTTTGGTTTTAGAAGCACAGATCTGATTTCTTGCCTGGAAGCTTTGGTGCCGATTCCTCCCCTTCTGCTGCTGCTGATGGAGCTGGGCACTTGCAGAGGGACTTCTCCAGCAGGGACAGGGGTGCCATGGCCAAGGCAGCTTTTGCCACGTCTGCATTAAATGAACCATCTTTAACATCTCTTACCTCTTGCTATCAGCCAGCACTTTCTGCAGCTCTTTGACAGGATCCTTACAGCACATCTCAGATTTGCTGGACGCATGTGATCCTGCAAACACTGCCCATGGTGGCACGTGCAGCTTGTCACTGCACATCTGTTGCCTTCCCTTTTTCCCCTGCCCAGGGGCACAGCTTGCTCCTTTTCCCCCAGTTCCTTTCCCCCCATCTCCTTTCCCCCCAGCTCCTTTTCCCCTGGCTCCTTTCCCATCTCCTGTTCTCTGGCTGATCCCCTCCTTCCACAGACCTGCCCCACGCTGCAGCTGGACACGTGGCAACACATCCATGGATGGAAGCTTTAATGAGGACAGCACTAACGATGCAATAACAAGACATTCCCAGGACTTGCTACAGCAGCTTTGCTAACCAGGGATTTGCTCTGCATGTTATTTTGCTCTAGTTTCATCTTGTTTGGAGAAATCCATCACCAGAGAAGCTGGGGATGCCCCATCCCTGGAGGGATTCAAGGCCAGGCTGGATGAGGCTTTGGGCAACCTGGGCTAGTGGGAGGTGTCCCTGCCCATGGCAGGGGGTGGCACTGGATGGGCTTTAACGTCCCTTCCAGCCCAAACCATCCTGTGATTCTATGATTTTGTGATTCTCTGAGCATGGGAGATGCTCAGGGGGAAGGTCCTCTCCAGGGTTTTCCCCCTTTCTCCAAGATCTGCTCATTCCTGGCCAAAGCCTTTGGTCTGCTTGGTCTGGGATGGCCCAGGGAGCTCAGGGGAGAGTTGGGGCTCCCCACTGTCCAGTTGTGAGCTCAGGCTGGGAAGGAGAAGGCTTTTTGGAGAGCGTGGTGTGGAGATGAGGCTGCGGCTCTGCCTTGAGGAGCACTCAGCCTGGGGACATGGAAGGGCTTGCAGAGCCCTGGGGGGACAGCTGTCTCTTCTGGCAGGAATCTGCAAGAAACCTCCAGCCTGGGACGTCCCCAAACACCTTTGGAAGGCACCGTCAGGCATGGGTGTGGGGGGACAGAGCGAGGCAGGGGGTCCTTGTCCCCCACACTCCCCTGCCCAGCCTCCTGCCAGGGCAATGTGGCTCCTCCTTCACCGAGGTGCTCCAGGATGTCACCGAGCAACATGCCAGCCCTGGGGACAGGACACGTCTTGGTGACAAGGGCTCAGTGCCAAGGGAGGGGGTACCACCTGCTCCCTGCAGCCCCTGGGACAGGGGAGTGCTGGCATTGGGGCACCTCTGGGAGTCCCATCCCCGGTCCCTGGGGTTTGCAGCCGTGCAGGGCTGTGGGGACAGGCTCTGTCGGGGTCTGGCATGTGCCTTCCTGTCGCCTGTTTAGGTCCATGCAGGGGAGCCAAGAAATCTCTTAACTAAATAAACAGCGCTCTCGTCCCAGATGGCATCTGTTTATACGCCAGGTACAAACAGTCCCCACGGCTGGCCTGCTTGCAGCC